ACATCTGTATTCTAAGGAAATGGATAAAACCTTTACCCAAACTCACTATCTTTCATCTTTGAATAATAAGGTATGAGTTATAAGATGCATCAATCATCAAAATAATTAGTATAAACCAGCTTTAAATTGTGTTTTTATCTAATACATCTTAGCAGGAGTGTCTAAACTTGGTCCTGGAGGGCTGGTGTCCTGCATATTGTAGTTCCAACCCCAATTAAACACACCTGAACCAGCTAATAAGTTTGCATGTTCTCCTCTGGTAAGACATGCGGTACAGGTGAAGTGGGTAGGCTAAATTGTCCGTAGTGTATGAGTGTGAATGAGTGTGTGTGGATGTTTCCCATAGATGGGTTACGGCTGGAAGGACGTTCACTATGTAAAAACTTGCTGGATAAGTTGGCGGTTCATGCCGCTGTGGCGACCCCGGATTAATAAAGGGACTAAGCTGAAAAGAAAATGAATGAATACACAGAGCCGACTCATCCTTTTGATTAGCATTATTTATTTTGGGTTGTGCCATTTAATTATCAGAATTTACAAATTATGTTGTTGATTTTAAATCCGCATACTTTTAGATAAATTACCAACCTACATCACACATGACGTCACACAGGTTCCCGGTTGCAAAAAGAGACCGGTTGCAATAGCAAACATGTCGTGTTGTGTGGTAGTAACGTAAACTTTACCGTACACCACACTGCTTTTAATGCCAACTGCAGACATCTTTGGCTGAAAGGGAGCTGAATGAAGTGAGGACCTAATTAAAAATGCTTGACTCTGCAGTTCTCATTTCATATCAGGTAAATTAAACTGCGGACACTGAATGCTTACACTGAAATGTAAAGGTGTAAGTTCACATACCGTGCCCTACAGGTGCACTTCGCTGTCAGAATGCAGTAGTTTTGCTTGTTGATGATTACCCAGGCCTTGTACAGTTCAGTCTTCTTTCCTTATCTTTGGATAAGCAGAACCTTTTAGCACTACATAGTGTTGAATCTGGTCATCATGGAGCATTAATTCTTGTACATGACCACACAGAACAACATTGTTGGCATCCAAAGACTTGTAGACCTTTAACTGCTCTCTTGTTAAAACACTTGGAGCTTCAATGAGATGTATATTTGGGGCTGGATGCTTGGCAATTTCATCTTATCCAATATTCATTAGGAGGGTGCTATCGCAAATGCACCTGTCAGATGAACAGTGCTCACTTTAATGTTATTTTGCTGAATAACTGTGCTTATCACTGGGTGACGAGCTGTTATAATGCACTGAAAGCATTATGTAAATAATATATATAATATGTAATCAATATAACTTATCTAATACGACAACAAACTCTGAACCGCATCGGATGTCATTCCCTCGCTGTAAATGCTAGCGCTCCCGATTTTTTTCTTTAACCTCGCTGCGCGCATCCTGAATGTTTACAAACCTGGTCAGGGCCGGAGTGGGACTCCTTTTCTCCTCTGGAGTTTCAAGCCTTAGACCGGCCCACCTCAGTCGTCGACTGACTATATTAAAATAACGTAATTCCAATTCAGTTTCAAATGACACTAACACGTTTTTTTAGGACACACCTGCTTTAGAACTTCAAATGTTTTTCATAAATATGAGAACATTAATCCTTTATAGATATCCAGTCCTTTGTAATAATCGTCACACACACACACACACACACACAAAATATGTACCCCTACATAAGTAACCCAAACCCAAAAGTAATATATGTCTTAACACTAAAAATGAAGAATTATATTACACTCTGGTGAGATTCAAACTCAGATTGTCGATGTCGTAACCGCTAGTGTCCAACCACTAGACCACAATGGCGCTGTTAAGCCAGTGAATCCGGAAAAAAGAATAACTATTGCACTGTTATCTGCTGCTATTGATGTCTATTCTATTTTTATCCTACTCTTTTTCTCCCCTTTTTAGATTTCTGATCATGTTATGTCAGATTTATTAATACACTGAATCATCTGATTTTCATTGATCAGGTGTAATGTTCATTAATATTAATTAATATTCACTAAGGTGCCGCTGTTTGGGGTGGAATGATAGTTACATCATCATTAACCTGCGGGCTGCATTTGGCTGCGACGAAATAATGAATAAAAAGAGTGAGGCTATGGTCAAATAACAAATAATGAAAAAAGTGCAACTGCTTAGAGTGCAAGTAGCTAGGGACACCGGCCCACCAGGAATTCTCCTGGGGCCTCATGAATCAACGCTGCGTAGGCACAAAAACTTTGCGTACGCCAGGTTTCACGCTCAGAATGACTCATGTTTGGATTTACTAACAATGAAATGAACGTGGGAATGTGCGCAGCTCCACGCCAGCTTCATGGCAGGCGTACGCACATTTTTTGTGCGTGTCTGTTTTATTTCCATTGGCGACTCTTAGAGGCAGTTGTGTTAAATTGCACTCTACAAAGTGACTGAGCCTTGCAATGGCAGCTGTATGAGACGGGTTCATCGATCTAGCAGGTAAATAAGATTTCCATACCATACAGTTGAGCAGCTAAACATTAAAGCACAATTTGCAGCGGTCGCCTGTTTTCCCAATGTAATGGGAGCGATCAACTGCACGCACATTGCTACAAAGACACCATCTGAAGATGATTTTGCATACGCGAATCAGAAACATTTCCATTTCCAAATAAAATATGATACACAGACTTAATAATGATTCCTACTTGTCTTCCTCGTGATTAATAGTAGTCAAAATCTGATATGAAGCAGGGGGGGGGGTTAATTCAGCAGACGCTGGATTCGAACCGAGTTCATGCTCGAATGTATCAAAACATAATGCCATGCGCTTTACTAGCTGCGCCACTCGACTGTTAAGGGTGCTGTATCATTTTGCACCTATACATCTCACTATCTCTTCTTTAAATCCACCGAGTGTGATGTTCAGACCCAACTGTGTTAACCGCATCAGCTAAACTCTCCCACTCTTTTGTTGTTAATTCCGGAGGACAAACTTGCAAATAACACCGCTTTCCTCCGGTCTACCTCTGAAAGCAGCACCTCCAATTCACATTCTGTTCAAAGTTTCTCTTCTTGCTTGCTTTTGCCTTTGCTTTTTCGTTGGGTTTTGCCAAAGTAGAGTCATTAGCATATTCATACGGGGGAGGAGGCAGGGAGGGGTTTTGCATGTTGCGCTCAGTTTCACGTTCATTAGGATGCACAAAACGAATATGCGTGGAATTCGGCGTACGCAGTGTTTCATACATCTGAATTTTTTTCTGCGTACGCACATTTACAGCTTTGTGCGTACGCAATGTTTTAGTATGATTTCCACGCAAGTCTTCGTAAATGAGGCCCCTGGTCTTCCCAATTAGCCAATCCGGGCCTGAACCTGGTAATTCGTCTATTGGTCACAAGTTTATTTCTTTAGTTTAAAGTATAAAACACACTTACAAATTGATATTTTTAAAGTCTGTAGTTAGTAGTAGTAAATATTAACAGATGTAAATATAAAACTAACATATACATTCTCTGTGAATTTATGTTTTGTCACAAATGTCACATCCATAATGCTAGAATTACTCTTATGCCAATACTTCCTCATAGAGCAGTGGTTCTCAAAGTGGGGGTCGCGGGACAATGACAAGGGGTCACTTGGTGATTTCCAAAATTTAAAAACAATTTTATTCAACTATTTGAATTGTCATATTTTATTCATAACCCACAGAAGATTAATAGTTGCGTTAAAGAAACAACAACATACAAACAAAAATCAGCCATCAGCTTTTAATTTTTATATTAAAATGTAATTAAATTAATAAATGACAAAAAAAACATTATATGTTGCATTTATGTGTTGTCAATATGCTCATGTTTATATGGGCCTACAGTTGTGTCTGCAACATTTATATATTTACAGTATAACCACTTTAAAAAATGGGGGTCGCGAGTCACTGACATTGTTATTTTGGGGGTCACGGGCTGAAAAGTTTGGGAACCCCTGTCATAGAGGACTGATACAACACACCATGGCCTGTGATGTCAACAAAATAATGATTATTACAGTTTTTTTTATTAATGAAGCAAAGAGGTAGATCAAATCCAATTACATACATTGACACAAATGATACAAATACATAAAAAATGCACAGAAATATACACAAAATCAAACAAACGGCAGGGTAACAAATATAAAAATAAGTTACACCCTAAAGAGTCACAAAGGAAGAATATAAGCATTCAGTTTTCATTGCTTTAGGATTAAAAGAGTGCTGGATAGTTTCCAAATGTTGGTCTAGGTCAATTTTAAGAAGGTTTAGAGTCACTAAACCTTTGTTTATAAATATAAAACTTGACTTAAGGGATGTATAAATTAATTATATACATTTTTCCCAAGTTTTCTTTAGAATCGTCAAACATTTGGCAACAAGTAAAAAAGCTATAACCCGTAAATGGTATAAAGAAGAGCCACCAGCTAAAGATGAATGGTTCAAAATTATAGCAGAAGTTAAGGAAATGGAAAAAATGACACATGCTCTTCGAATACAATTAGAGACCTTTGATAAGAAATGGAGTAAATGGCTGGCTTTCTCCACAACGACAATATAATTATTTATAATTGAACATTTACATTATTGTAGAGGTTATGCATCACTGTAAAATGTGTTTAGCAATCTTTTATTTTATACTTAATTATTTATTTATTTTGATGAGGTTAATTGAATATTTTTATACATGTATGTATATGGATATACATGTGTGGAATGAATGTATTTGCCTATATATGTATACATATGTATATTTATGTATATATGTATTAGTTTTTAATTAGTTTGTTTTGTTCCCAATGTTTATATGTTCCTAAAAAATCAATAAAAGCTAAGTAAAAAAAAGAATCGTCAAACAATCCAGCTTACAAAATTATCATTACAACATTATATGCATTTAAAAAAAGGCTCAGCCCACTTTCCGCGCATGCGCTCTGCAGACTCCATGGCGTATTTAAGCGCGAACAGCAGAGATGAGAGATGAGCTTCCTGTCAGACTCAGACATGACACATCAGCCGAAGGCTCTCTGGCGCGGCATAAAAACCCATTCTGCCTTCATATAACTGGATATTACAGCCTTAAGGATGATAAGGGACCGTTTTAAACGCGTTATAAATGAGCTGTGAGTCGAATTGGAGTTAAATTGTCGTCCTTGGCTAACTGGCTAATGCTAGCGAGCTGGCTGACGGTGGAGAAAAAAACTGAAAGCGGAAGAGTGACGTGCTGGATTACCGAGGCGGAAGTGACAGAGCGCAGATTTTCCTTCTGGAAGGTGGGTGGGGCATCACTGTTTTACTTTATACTTTATTTGACTATTTTTATAGTTTAATGGCTGAGTGTATTTAATACAAATATAAGGATTATTAATAATAATAACGTCTTTGTTGTTGTTATTATACCTTATAATATTAGTGATAAATGAAAATAGCATCCTTGCCTTTTTTCAATTTGTAATTTTATTTATTTATTTTTATTATTATTATTGTTATTATTAATATTATTATTATTATTATTATCATTACTATTATTACTGTAATACCCAAATGGTCATAATCTTATTATGTAATGTTCATTTGTAATATGCCTAATGTTAATGTAATCTATTGTTGTTATTACTATATTAGGTCTTTTTTATTTCTATAAAATTAATTTTAGCACGTTTTAATCTTTTTAATTATTTTTATTTTTTATGTTTCTTCTTTACGTAAAGCCTTTTACATTACCATTGTGTATGAAATTTGCATAGAAATAAACTTCCCTTCGATTTTTCTTTCTTAACTCTTTATCCAGGCCTAAAAATCCTGTTAGAAGAAAAATCTGACTAAAAAACTGCTGAAAATTTTGCTGATCGCCTGTAAAAAAGCCATAACCAAAAATGGTTAGTGATAAATGAAAATAGCATCCTTGCTTTCTTCAATTTGTAATTTTATTTATTTATTATTACTAATATTATTATTACTGTAATTGTCATATGGCCATCATATTATGTCATGTTATATCATATCATCTTATTATGTAATGTTCATTTATAATAAGCCTAATGTTAATTTTAATCTATTGTTATTACTCACTATGTCTTTTATTTCTGTAAAATGTATTTTTTATTTTATTTTAATCTGTTTTTAATGATTTTTATTCCTTGTTTTTATTTCTTATGTTTCTTTTATTCTTGTTTTCGTAAAGTACTTTGAATTACCATTGTGTATGATATTTGCTATAGAAATAATCTTTCCTTCGATTTTTTTTTTTCTTACTCAACTCTATACTTAGGCCTAAAAAATCCTTTGTTAGAAGAAAAATCTGACAAAAAAACTGCAGAAATTTTTGCTGATCGCCTGTAAAAAAGCCATAACCAAAAAATGGTTACAGCTTGAAGCACCTCAATTAGTGACTGGTTTGACATAATTTATGAAATCTATAAGATGGAGAGGCTAATGAACTGTCTTTTACAAACTGAGGAGTTTATTGAGACATGGAGAAAATATGTAGAATATATTCTGACATTAAGACCAAATTTATTATATATTAGAATGAATAGTCAGAAAGATGTGAATTTTATTTTGATTATTTTATGTATTATTTTTAGTAATGATAGAAAACATAACAGAAAGATAGTAGGAAGAACAATAGCTATTTAAAAATAAACAGATAAATAAATATTTTACATTTAAGATCCTAAAAGTACCATCCTCATAGTTCCATATGTACATATTTTAGGTAAAAAATAATAAAAAAGTACACAATTGAATTGTAACTGAAAAGCAGCAAATTCATTTTATCCATTTCTTTTTGATGATATACAAAACAATTATGAGTGTATTGATTTTCCTGTTTCTAATAATGTCCTTAAATCATTAATGTAACTTCCAAATTTATTAATGGAAATTTTTTATATTTTATCATTTCATTTATTTCTACAATTTTGGGAATCCGATGTTTGATTGTTTTGTCAATGCATTGTGGAAAACCCTATCAGTATGTGAATTTGGATACTGCAATAAACTAAATGGGATAAAAAAAAAAAGAAATAAACTTCCCCTGCCTTATTGTATACTTACAAAAAATCTATTAAACTACACATTTTACTTGGTGTATTATAAAATGCACATCTGTGATTTAGTTTACATAGAATTATTAATTAAATGGCTTAGCAAACATTTTTTAATGATAATGTTTTGTGTGTGAGTGTGTGTGTTTGTGCTAATAATAATGTTTCCACTTATGTATATTACCAATATCAGCAATGTATAATAATGCCAATTTACTAAAAATATATATAAATATAAAGCTGTTGTTTGTTATATTATCATTGATATGAGAATAAATCTCATCTGAAATCCATCTGGAGATGCTGATCTTCTACAAACATCATTTCTGAGGTTAAACCTTGGAAACTTGAGATGAAGGTGGTTTTATATTCGCACTTCCAGACTTTTACATAATATCATTTTAGACGAGTATTCTTTGCAATCTCTAAATGGAGAGATTATATTAGCAGCCGATGACTATCAAAGTACAACGCTGTTCACAGTAAAATAAGGAGAGCTGATGTTGTTTGTTAGTGCTAATGTTAATCGCACTATTATGCTTTACTTTTCCATTTCTTTAAAACCTGATAGACGAGACCCACAGGACATCAAGATTTTAACACACTGAAGTCTGAGGAACTCATGCCTGAGCAATGCATGTGACTTAATTCTCCATATGATCATTAAAAAAAGCCTTTTATATAAAGTATGTCATTGCATTATTACATACTCAATTTTAATTTTTTTGTGTGTTATGTTTTATTTTTATGTTTGTATTGTTTGGTTTTTATCAAAATTAGGTTCAATCCCATGTCAGCAGCTCCCAGGACAAAACATGACGTGTTTAATACTTATTCCCCCCCCCCCCCCCCCCGCTGTATATATTTTGCTCCTTGAATGAAATAGGGTTGCAGATGTGGCTATAAACAAACAAATAAACGCTTATTTTATGAAGCCTCATGATGCATTGCATTTAAAAGGTAGATTCAATTAAGATCTACTAAAATAGATTACTTGTTCTGGAACGAATTAAGTCCTGCTTACTGTGGGAAAACCCCCAAAGCCCCAGAAACCGCATGCATAATGTTGGTTTACAGGAAGTAACGCAAATCAAATTAAAGACAACTCGGGCGAGAATAATTGGCTGTGAAGGCGTAGCGTTTATTCAGAGCTTCTGCAGGAGAGTCGGGCTGTGTTTTCACTCTCACTCTTTCCTTCTTTCTCTCGCCAGGTTTGGATATACAGAGGGATGGATGAAAAGCAAAGAGCCACTTCTGAACGGATTCTTCTGGAACCGTACAAGTATTTATTACAACTGCCAGGTAAGAGCGTCTGCAGGGTTTTGGCTGCATGTAAATCAGTGCCAAGGGAACTTTTCTTACTATTATATAACAAAGGTGACACGGTGACTTAGTGGTCGCTTCACAGCAAGAAGGTCACTGGTTCAAGTCCCAGCTCAGTCAGTTGCCAGTTCTGTGTAGAGTTTACATGTTCTCCCTATGTTGGTGTGGGTTTCCTCTAGGTCCCCCACAGTTCAAACACATGCGCTCTAGGGGAATTGGGTTAGCTAAATAGGTTGCAGTGTATGTGTGTGAATAAGTGTGTATGGGTGTTTCCTAGTACTGGGTTGCGGCTGGAAGGGCATCCGCTGAGTAAAACACATGCTGGATATGTTGGCAATCGATTCTGCTCTGGCGACCCCTGGTGAATAACGGGACTAAGCTGAAGATGAATGAATGAATAATAATTTATTATTAAATAAAAAATCATGCGGGGTCATGTGTGTTTCCAGCGGAATAGGGTGGAAGGAGGGCTTTTCAGAAATGAAAGGTGAAGCGTCAGTGTGGATGTGGATTGTTTTCATTCTAAAATGCCTATTAAAAACTAACCGTACGTTCACACCGAAAGCGGCGAGAGCGTCCAAGGTCGCTCTGGCCGCCCTGGCGACAACGCTCTTTGCCTTCAGCTCCGGCGGCGAGAGCGGCAAAACTCGCTACATTGATCTCATATTTAAAGGAGCAGTTGCAGCATATCAGTTACATTCCTGCATAAGACATGTTTCTAGCGTGAAAATGTTGCGCACTTCTTATCAAATTCATATAACAATGGAAGATCAAGTTGCGTGTGGTGTGGCTTTGCTCTATTTATCCAATATGTGTCCATATGTCTGAAATATCCTGAAGCAGCAGTACTGTTTTGTACTGTCACATCGCGTGAGATTCCCGCTTTTTTAAGATAAATTTATATAACATTAATGAACATTAGTAACTCGCCAGTAACTTATTTAATGCATGTTCCTGTAGGAAAAAATAGTAAATAATTGGAAATCCGGCGACCGCAATAATCAAACCCTTGGGAACAACTGTGGTCAGAACCAAAGTTCACAGGTCAGTGTTCTCTGAACTGCTATCAAGCGATGGATGTCTTCATTCTGATTGCTTGCCGCCGAACCGCGTCATAGCTCATTACCATAAAGTTGACTTCATTTCAACTCTCCTCGACGCCCACACCGGCGAAGACGCGCCGCGCTGCTCCTCGCCACTTATCGCCGCCGGCTCTCATTGAAAATGAATGACTTCCGGCTACTTTCGGTGTGAACGTACGGTAAGGGCTCTATTTTGACGGTCCATGCCCAGAGCGCAAAACACAGGGCGCAAACGCTTTCAGGGCGTGTCAGAATGCATCTTTGCTAATTTAAGGACGGGAAATCTGCCTTGCGCTTCGGCGCATGGTCTAAAAGGGTTGAGTTTATTTTCTTAATGAGTTATAGGTGTGTTTTGAGAATTAACCAATTACAGTCTCATCTCCCATTCCCTTTAAGAGTCAGCTGCGTCACGCCATAAGCGCATTCGCTATTTACAGGACGCAAAGTAAGTCTAAGTGGAAAAAATGAGCATTTCACAAGCAAACAGTTCACAGTTTTTTAACAGAAAACTGTTAAACAGAGCATCTACTGCGTGAGAATGAGAGATAATGGATCTACTTTCACTTTCGCTCTTGGATAGGGAAACCTTTACGCACAGACATCAATTAGTCTATAAATAATTAATTTCGTTTGTTAAGCGCAAATATTTGTTTCAAAGCTATTTCTAAATTCATTTCTAATTTCCAGCAAACGATTAAATGAACAATAATAACAAAATGTGCTCAAAAACCTGAGTTATATCCTGAAACACATGCTGTGCCCCATATGGTCTAAAACCAGACAGGTTGGCAAATCTAAGCTTGTTTTTTTACTAAAACAAATATAAATATGGATATAATAAATAATACTGCTAATAATAATAACATTATACAAAAGCAAATTGTTATGAATGAACTGAAAAAGCCTCCCGAGATGAAGAAGGCATAAAAGCAGTGGTTTTTCATATTTATGTAGGCTAGAAAATAATGTTTTGTAATATTTTAATCCTTTATATTTATATCCTATATCTATTCTTATTATATCATATATATATATATATCCTTAATTTTTTTCATATGTAAAGATATTTGCGTATTGCTCTCTCGTGTGTATTAAGCAGTGTGTAAGCGAGGCGCAATTCTGCGCCGGAGTTTAGACCGGGTTAGTTTTGGTCTAATGAAAAATCTATTATAGTTTCTTAAAATAGCAACGCGCTAGCAATGCCCCTTAGAACACCTTCCTTTTTAGACCAGAATGCCTATGGGAGCACATATGAGCGCTAATGCATTTGCTATTTAAACAGCGTAGCGCAACACCTCAAAACGGCTCTTGCGCCAAGCTGAAACTAGCAAACAAGTATTGCGCCGCGCCTTGCGCCACATTGCGCCGGGTGTATGATAGGGCCCTAAGTTGTATTAGGCCAAAAGAGGGCCTACGTGTGTATTATTCGTGAGCAGGTTGCTGCTGCGATGGTGGCGTGGCTGAGGATTGCAATGCCAGCTCAGCATTGTGATTTCTTATATCGGCCATCGGCAGGGCTTATACCCGCCAAATACGGGTAGATTTCAGCTTTGACAGTCACTTTGGCTGATTGAAAATAATTATTAAATTGTGGGTTTCTTAGAAGCAGGGTTCGACTATAAGCATGACCCAGTATGCGTGCAAATGTTGTCTTAGAAAAAATACAAAATTGCGTTCGGCCGAGCAATAGAAAGCAGATGAATACAGAGAGGATGATCACTGGCGCTAACAGCTGATGTGATGTGCGCGACTGTTTAAAGCGCGTGCGCGCTCCTGTTTCCTTGCTTGAAGCAACCGTGGCTGGAACACAACTGTGATCGGTTCTCTTTCAAATAGTCAGACAAACAAATTATGCTAATGCACCGACAGTCTTGCTGCCTTCAAGAGCTCCAAATGTGACCTTTTGTAAGCAGCACCGGTTGCTTTTGCTTTGATCAGATTATTAATTGGCCTTAACCTTGTGATCATCCTTTCATTATCACACTGTTTTTTCACCTGCTTTCTATTTCTTATGGTTATTTTTGTTAAGATGGTTTAATTATCATTTTTTTACAACAACATTGCTTTAATATGAGATTAACTCTCCATTACTGTGTAGTTAACTGGTGATCTGAGAGACCTTTAGCGAGGACAGATTTCTGTGCATATTTTTGATGCATGACAATTATTTTTAAAAGTAATTTTTTTTTTTTTTTTGTTAAATAAAATTATTGTATACAGCTATATTTAGCTTGTTTTGACACATTTAAAATTTGTGTCTAAGAAATAATTATTGTTTGGAGTGGTCAGAGATACATTTGGTAAATCCCTAATTTTGAGTTCTGAAAACTCAAAATAATTGCAGTATAACACTATGAAACCATGACCTATTTGCTCATACACGATACACAAAATGTGAAATGTATAAGGAGGCATGTGGACAAAACACAAAATATAAATCAAGTGATTTTAGCATGTCAGAGTCATATTTATGCATATAAAAAATATTTTCCCAACAACAAAGTTGTGGCTTGTGAAAATGCAGAGTGTCTAGTAACGTTGGAAAACTACTAGCCACTGTGGCTGGTGGTCAAAAAAGTTAATGTCAAGCCCTGGCCATCGGTGATGGACGATGGCATCATCTATTGACCCAACCCTAAGTCATGTGTAATTTTTAAAAAATGTTTTAGTTTGTTTTACTTTAGTTTATTTTAATAGTTTTACTGTATTTAACTTCAATGTGATTTGTATGAATATGTGATGATTTAAATTTCTTGTATTTTAGATTTTAGGTTGAAAAGTCATTCATGCATCAGCTGGATTCATTTCTAATTAAAGATACAGTAAATGCAGAAATAGCGTAACGTTCTGGAAAAAAGTTAAGTTTGACTTTTTTTTTACATGTTATTTTTAATAGTTTTACTGTATGTAACTTCAATGCGATTGTATGAATGTGTGATAATTTCCTTATTTTAGTTTGTAATTTTTATTATTTTTAATCTGGCAAAGGGCAACAGATGGAAATTAAGCTCTTGGGATAACTGGCTTATTTACAGTTTTTACTTTTTGATTTATTGAGCACTTTCCCTCTTAAATGTATAAATACTGTACATGCATAAATCCAACAGGAATATAAATTACTCCCCATAATTAGGGTTGTAACGGTATGAATTTTTTACGGTATGATAATCGTCTAAAACAATACCACGGTTTCGCGGTATACGGTATGTTATAAATGTTACAAAATAATAGAACAGTGAAGCAAATTTGACTTTTTCCAAATAATATATTTTTAGTTACTATAAACAACACCACTTACAATGAAAAAATAAAAAAATAAGAAAATAATAAATAATGTGTCAAAATCCAAATAAAGTCCAAATAAACATGGTGCAAATCCTCAGTAAAAAAAATAGATATAAATATTTACTATACTATAAATAGTTACATAACGAAACTAGATTCAATATGGAACATCCTTAGGTTTTATGTGCCAGCATGGATATGGTTGTCTGTGGATATGGATTTGGATATGGTTGTCTGCAATGCAGACAAACAGCTGCACCTTCATTTGCGTCTTTTGAAAACAGCAAGAGCAGCAGTTCGTCTTTGCTGTGTCACTGTTTTGTCATGTTTCTGTGCTGCTGTGCATGCAAAAGTACTTAGTATGAGAATTATTTCATGCAAAACTTTTTTTTTTGCGTTTTATTTAGCCGCGCATAAATGTATGCCTATCTCTCATTCAGTGTTGTTCAAAAAGCTCATTGTTGGTCCACAAACAAAAGCGAAACCTATGCTTATTGGTTGTGATATAGCGAGTTTGAACCAATCTGGGCATGGAGGAGGGACAATGCATCAATGTATCATGTCTGGTTTGTCCGGAGACACAGTGACGAGCGTTTCTTTGTCAAATCAGCG